AAACGAGTAAGTACCTACCAACACAGCAAAATTATATTTTACAATAATATCCTCATAGGCAGAAAATGAAAAGTTTTTTGGGACCAAATGTTGAGTACATATTAGCTATGAAAAAAAATTGGGCAAAAATAAAATGATATTTGTACAACTATATCAAATTTATTTATCATGATCTTGGAAATGTTTCATAAATATGAACTTCAAAATATTGTACACACAAATTCTTTGTATTTTTGTAAAAATATGTTTCCATTAATATTATAGTAATTTGTTCTTAATAATATTTTAACAATATATTATCTGTATTTATTCATTTGATATTTTTGGAAATTACCGTCTAACGGCAATATACATAATAAAAAAGTTTTTGAGAATAATTACAAATATAACTAAGTTATACAGACTAAAAATATAGCAAATTGATAAGAGTAGCCTTAAATTAAACTAGGGCAGTATCAATGATAGAACTAGGAGTAGATGGCGATCGGCTGCAGAGTTAATTTTTAAGTATATTTGAGACACCACCGCCAATGTTTTTCTTACTGTTTCTATAGTTTCTGTCTTGACAAAAAACCGAAAGCCATCAAAAACTAATTTTGAATCAGCGATATCTGGGGAGAGCCAGATAAAGCAATTATGTATTATATTGTTCTAATATTGTTGAGCAATTTAAAGTGTATAAAATAAATAGATACATTATTAAAATATGATGTAGTACCTAAATATAGTTTTATTACCAAATGTATTTTACAAACCGTACAATATCATCTTTACCTGTTATAATAAGGTATATTATAAGTTCAATTTTAACAGAATGCGTTTGATAAAAATTTAAATATAATATAACAAATTAAATTTACTTTTTAAATTATTTTGTAACCACAAGACTATTTTATTTTATTGTCTGTTAAATAAAATAATTGTAATAATAATTAAATTTAGCCATAAACAAGAAAAGTATAATAATTAGTTTGATATTATATTTTAACATAGATACAAATTTGTCAAAAAAAATCCATTTGAAACTTCATAATTCCACTAGTTATAAAATAATTTATTTGTGTAGTGTAATTATAAAAAAAAAAAAATACAAAATGCATATTATCAAGTCAAAAATTCTAATAATTGTAATTATTCTATGCAGAATTGGCCTTTCTTTTTTTTTTTATGATCTTATTAGAAGATTGAGTCAGGTAACTTTTTATCCCATTGCGTATTTCTCATTAGGAACATTTGTAAATGTTTTCATAGCTCTAATCATAATCATTGTGTACTTGTTAAAATTTCAGTAAGCAAATCCATCATTTCTGGAACAAATGCTTGGAGTATGGACAAAAGTGTTNGAGCGAAGCTCATGGTAAACGGGATGTAGAAGCTGCTAACCGCCTGCACCAATTGGCACTGATGGAGCAAAATTCGGACACGGCTGCTGACGGCGAATATTCTGCAGATCTCAATCGGCTACAATCATCACAGGGATGATTTAATGACTAATATTTTTTCATTATTTTATTATTATCATTTTTATTCAAAATTATTAAAATATACTTTCGATATAGTTTTATAACTAAAAAAATGTTTCTTAAATACCTAAAAATGACTTACCCAATATTCTAATTAGTTATAAGACATCTATTACAATAGGGAACATATTATTACTATATACTCTTGAAATTACTTACACTGTACTTTCCGAAATACTTTTTTAACAACTTCCACTCTAATTCATTTAATTGACCTTTATTTGCAATTGGTAATATTGAATTGTATTCAATAATTTCTTCATACGTATCATTAACTTGAAGAACAGTGTTAGTTAAAGTTTTGTCCATCTGAAGTTCAATTTGAGTAATATTGTCTCTACATCATATTTCAATTTTAAAACTATTCTTAAAATTTGTGTTTATGACTTCAGATACAAGGCATGATAGTTTTTATGTCAAAATCAAATATTGTAGACATCTTATACATTTGATAAATGTGTAATATCATGTTTTAAGTTTGTAAATTATGTTTTTGATATTTATCTTATCCTTTAAAAAATATTATAATCAAGTACATCAATAATAGCAATATATTTACATGTATCCCATTAAATTATCAATAAAATCATTACAATATTTAGGTCCAAGTTTATAACATTTATTACGGTTGTAAAAAAAATAAAATAACTTACTATTAATATCATTGGCTAGCTTGGTCTAGGAGCCCAGGATCCCTCCTCCCCAGATATATAGTTACTTCAATTTTTTTTTTTAATTCTTTANATTTCTTCATACGTATCATTAACTTGAAGAACAGTGTTAGTTAAAGTTTTGTCCATCTGAAGTTCATTTTGAGTAATATTGTCTCTGCATCATATTTCATTTTTAAAACAATTCCTAAAATTGTATTTATGACTTCTGAAACAAACCATGATAGTCTTTGAAAATATGTGTTATAACACAAATGTTAATTGACTTAAAATGTGAATATTTGATAGCCCTTTTGATTCAGAAATTTGTGATAGACAGTTATTTCTTAATTNTATCATTAACTTGAAGAACAGTGTTAGTTAAAGTTTTGTCCATCTGAAGTTCATTTTGAGTAATATTGTCTCTGCATCATATTTCATTTTTAAAACAATTCTTAAAATTGTATTTATGACTTCTGTAACAAACCATGATAGTCTTTGAAAATATGTGTTATAACACAAAAGTTAATTGACTTAAAATGTGAATATTTGATAGCCCTTTTGATTCAGAAATTTGAGATAGACAGTTATTTCTTAATTTTTTATTGTGTTGTTTTACATAAGTTATATATATAATATAGCTGAGTGTGTATTATCAACAAATACAAAATACAAATTCAATGCGAATTAAATAATTTCATGTATTAAAACTAAACTATATCATTTGTATATTTAAATTTTATATTATACTTGCAATAGAACTGAATTATTCTCTATCAAAAAGTTATCTTATTAATTACAATTCTGAACTCCAACTCGAATAATTTTAANAATAATAGTTATAAAAAGGGAAAAAAATTATCTCCAATAACCTGTGCTTGGAGGAAGACATTAATTATTAATGTTTCTTAAATGTATAATATATATTTACCATCAGCGTTTATATATTTAAAAACAAACATAGATGAAAATAAAAATAAAAATATAACAATAAGGTATTAAATTAAATTTTAATACAAAATACAAATTAAATATTCATAATAATTTTTTAAATAAAACTAATTTTTTATTTTCTATTAAAATTTGATACATTGTCATTTTCTAAATAACACATTTCTTATACCTGCAAATGTTATCAATATTGGATATATTGTATGGATGTAATTCTTTTCAATCTGAATTCATGTAAATAATATTTTGGGTATTTAATATCTCTAAGTCTGTATAAATATCAAAGCTTACATTAAGGTTATTTTTTAAAATATGTTAAGCGAAATTTGAAATAGGTAGAGTCCTTTTTGATTTCATCTCAGAATTATGTTCTTCAAATCTCATTTCAATATTTGTATTTGTCTTGCCTATATACAATTTATTACAGTAACGTTTAAGTTTATATACCAGCATTTTTAAAAAAGGGGGATATTTTGTGAGTGTTTAGTTCAATTGTTTAAATGTATGATTAATTTATTATTAATTGTACAAGACATTTTTTACATTATTTGTAATGTGATTCAAAATTTTATTGAATTCGTTAGACAAATTATTTTGATATTTCATACTACAATAGTTAAAAACATTATTTGGTGAGTTGTATATTATTTTTAATTTAATACGTTCATGCATTTTTTAATAGTATTTAAATTTAAATTATTTGTATGGGTTATTTTATTGATAATATTGAGCTCGTGTTGATAATTAGGTTTATTTAATGGAATATGTTCAAGCCTATAGAATATTGAATAAAAAAAATGATATGTTTTGAGAATAAGGGTGATTAGAATCATGTGGTATTTGAGTGTCAGTTTGTGTAGGTTTCCTGTAAATACTAAAATTAAATTTATAGTTTATTATGGAAACTGTAAGATCCAAAAAATTTAATTTTTTATTCATTTGTATTTCGAATGTAAAATGAATGTTTTTGTTTAAGTTATTAACTAAATACATTGCTTGTCTATTTGAACCTCTAAATAAAATGGACATGTCATTGACTTATCTATAATATGCTTTTTTGCTTATATTTTTAAATATTTTAAATAAAAAATTCAAATTTCCATTCCAAAATTTTTAAAAAAACACCGAGATATTTTTCGATTCAATTTTCAGAAAACTTTCGGTCTCAAAAACTTTTACTAAGGTTGAGTTTATTATTTTTAGGGAATTTTTTAATGTTTTGTAAAACAAATTTTTTGAGTGATTAAATTTTCGAATGGTTTTTTCGATTTTTCTATGAAATATTAGGTGTGTTTTAGCGATAACCATAGTTATATTCGTTATAAATTATGGTTTTATGATTTTGGTTAATTAAAAAATTCAAACCATTTTTGAGGTATTTTTAGCTATATCAATTTTGAGAGTTTTGTACGTAATATTTATTCAGTATGTACTCTATTATAAAAATGTTAGACTTGAACAGATATATCGTTATTTGATTTTATATCTTTATGATTCCTTGTGTTCAATATAGTCCTACCAAACACACTGTTCACTAACTTATAACAATTTTTTTCAAATTCTTCATCTGTTTTTGCACGAAGATTTGTGTTAAATTCTATATATTCTATATCTTTTTGATCAAATACTATGACCCATGCATTTTCTCTAATTTTAAATCTAAACTTAAAAAAAGCCNTCATCGCGAAGCTCTCTTCAGGATATGTCAAATCCACTTCGAAAATATAGTCCTTTTCCCGGTCATCTTTCATTCTTAACATTTTGTCTATATTAAACAAATCTGAATTAAACCATTTAAATCCATATATGGTAAATATTTACACATCGTCCATCCATAGAGATTATTTGCATCCAAATCTAAGTTCTAATTCTACACCTGTTTTTCTATGCATAGCATTCCACGCAAAACCTGGAGTTTTATAATAATGAACAGAATCCAACTTAAAATGTTTTATCGAAACATCACTATAATTTTCCATTACATCTGTAAGTAATAATACATCTATTTTATTATTAAGTATAGTAAGTCTCTCATATTTTTTATTTCGTATGTTTCCCATATTTTTTTCAATTTCATTTAGTATTCTCTGTTTCTTCACTAGTATTGGTGGTAAATCCATCAAAGATTTTTCACATTCATGACAATTATTTTCTTTTTCAAATTTAGTTTCTTTTTCATTGGTTATTATCATATGTTAATTAATTTTTTTTATTTTTTGCAATATAAAGAGCATCATCTTTTATTTGCTCATANACATCTTTTTTATTATTAAGTATAGTAAGTCTCTCATATTTTTTATTTCGAATGTTTCCCATATTTTTTTCAATTTCATTTAGTATTCTCAGTTTCTTCACTAGTATTGGTGGTAAATCCATCAAAGATTTTTCACATACATGACAATTATTTTCTTTTTCAAATTTAGTTTCTTTTTCATTGGTTATTATCATATGTTAATTAATTTTTTTTATTTTTTGCAATATAAAGAGCATCATCTTTTATTTGCTCATAAAAAACCTCTTGCTTCGTCTTCACCTGAATATGTAACTAAATTCCTTTTATTTATATTACTATATTTAACATTATACCAAAATCTAACAAGTAAATGGTTTTGATATGTTTTTGTATAGGAAGCTGTATCAGAAGGTTGACATGTATACTTTCGAAATCAACATAAATAACAAAAGGAGCCATCTATGATTGATTGTATTTTTCAAATAAAAGAATACAATTAGATATACTAGGTAATATTGCTTTAGCATATTTATTATTTCTGCAATATTTCTCATGGTCTGTTAGACTTTCCTCAGTGTGAAAATTAGATAAACACATGTTGCATAAATGTGTTTTATGGACATGCTTTGTTTTTTGTGAACCAACTAACCTTATTAAGTTTCTAATCAAAAAATTATGTTCATTATTTTTTCCTCTAAGATAAAATAAGTAAATATGTGTTTCTTTTTGAATATTACATATTTGTATTGGTACAATATTTGTATTATCATCATAAGTAAACACGTTGATGAACATATTTGTTTTTTTTTTTCAAATTAAGGAATATCTTTTTATTTAACTGGAAATTCAAATTTTAAACTTTAAAATACTTCATCAAATTCATTTTCCCATTCTTTATATTTGCTAACTCTGTTTGCATCTTTTGTCACTGGATGTAGAGCAGCAAAAATTGACCAAAGAAAACATTNTGTATTATCATCATAAGTAAACACGTTGATGGACATATTTGTTTTTTTTTTTCACGTTGATGGATATCTTTTTTTTTTTTTTTCAAATTAAGGAATATCTTTTTATTTAACTTGAAATTCAAATTTTAAACTTTAAAATACTTCATCAAATTCATTTTCCCATTCTTTATATTTGCTAACTCTGTTTGCACTCTGTTTGCATCTTTTGTCACTGGATGTAGAGCAGCAAAAATTGACAAAAAAGAACATTTGTTATCTTCGTTTCAATGTTAATAATAGCTATTTTATCAGATATCATTTTTGGTAATCCAATATATGATGCCCCTCTAAGTGGATTATATTTATACATGTTTATGTTCATATTTGTATCCTGGTTAAATATCCAACCAGAACCCTTAGCTATAAATGCATCGCCTCGAGATTGAATTGTTTTTTTCACATTGTTATAAAAATCATTGAAAATACTAGAATGAAGGAAGCGTTGACTTTTTGTTATAGAGCCTGTGTTTATTTCCTTGTATAATGGTTTTTTCTTGATATATTTGTAACCTGGTTAAATATCCAACCTGAACCCTTAGCTATAAATGCATCGCCTCGAGATTGAATTGTTTTTTTCACATTGTTATAAAAATCATTGAAAATACTAGTATAAAAATCATTGAAAATACTAGAATGAAAGAAGCGTTGACTTTTTGTTATAGAGCCTGTTTGACTTTTTGTTATAGAGCCTGTGTTTATTTCCTTGTATAATGGTTTTTTCTTGATGTATTTACAAGATACTGTAATAGTTATTTTAAAATTACCTATTTCTTTTAAATATTCTAAAATTTATTTTTTAACAAACCCATTTAAATAATTCAAAAATTGATTTATATCTTTAAATAAGCGTTTATTTTCAACAATTTATGATAATACTCTTTTGTTGAAAGCAGATTGAGTTTTAGTAATTATATTTACAATCTTTAAAGCAGGTTAAAGCAGCTTTCTCTCTTAAATAAGCTATCATCCAACTTTGAGAATATTATGTGTTTTAGAATCTTATCTTCAAAATATATTCCACTACAATCATTTTTTTTTAGTTGGTCTTTTCTCAATACTATCTTTAAAAAATTTGTAGAAAACTCTGTGTGTTTTTATTGTTCTCCCTTATCTAAGTTCTTTCATAAATTCTAGTTTCAATAGTTCTATTTGGATCATTTCTTTGATGTTTTAATGATCTTAAATGTCTAGACCAATTTTTATAAGTAGTTGAATTTTCATACATGTTCATATGTCTTTTGAAAGCTGTTCTAACATAAATATTTTCTTCCATTTTATTATAGGTTAATTTTTTTTTTTTTCAAAATTCATTTTAAATAAGACCATCTTGTTTAAAATATATTGTTTAAAAATTGTTAGGGGTAACATAATATTTCAAATGAGATTTAACTCCAATATATGAAATAACTCTAGTTTAATATAAAAACTTACAAATCATAATTTGTAAATTTTTTTTTTTTAATTTTAATATTTCATTACAATTGCTTTTTCTCACACATTAAAATTTGGTTTTTCGGAATTCGTCTTGAAAGAAACTCCCATCAATAAATTCATTGTTTAAATCTTTAATTTTATAAGCAATTGAATATGTATTGAATATTCTGTAACAATAAAAATTTCCAATTTGAGTCCAATTTGATTTATATTTGTTAGCAAATGTTTTTCTGGACTTTTTTTTCCGAACCCTATCATTAATCTTAAATTTAATTTTGATTTAAATATTTCACTAGGGAATAAATTAATTAAAACTATTTCTTCATAAGATTTGTTTACATCAAATGATATCATTCCAATTGCTCTATGAATATCTTTGAAATTATATTCGTTCAATAAATCTTGTAATATATCAACCCATCTTTTATTTTTCTGAATTTCAAACTGTATTCTCATTTTATCATTTAAAGTTCTGTTGAAACGTTCAATAATTGCAGATTTCTCTTCGCTTTGTGTATGATATAATTTTCACCTTTATCAGTGTGAATTAATGTTGGTGAACTATGTTAATGTAAATTAGCTGTTTTTATTATTTCTTCAAAACCTTTAGTAACATTTTTTCCATCGTTTTTCTTAAGAGATTCAGACCAATCGAATTTTGAAAAAGTATCTATAACATTTAATATATTTAAATAACCTACATTTTCATCACCATAATTTTTCATTAAAATTAAATCTGCAGCCCACAAATCATCAATACCGTATGTTTTTATTTTCCTTTTCGGAAATCGAGAGCTTAATGGTTTATGTAGTTCTTTTGCAATACTTAGTTTATCTTGTTCTGTTATTTTTTCAAATTTTATTTTTGAGATTGTTTCTTTTCCTAAAGTAGTTTTAATAAATTAACTTTTGTTNTAATATTTTCTTTTCCTAAAGTAGTTTTAATAAATTAACTTTTGTTTGTTTTATATTTTAACCATTGTGTTGAAATTTTCCATAGACTATTTATTGTTTGAACTTTGATTGGTTTAAAATGTTTAGTTTTCTTTTTGCATTTGTGACAGTGTATTGGTTCTAAAAATTCTTTGTCCATATTTATTAATAAAATTAATTTATTTTGCTTTCTTTGTAGAATATTTCTATTAAAAAAAAATTTGTATAGTTTTAGATGTTTTTTCTAATTGAGTTTTACACGATATCATATGTAAACTCAGAATTAGAAACTACACAAATATAGCAAATTGTATCATTTAGTACATCCCCATTTAAATCTACATTCGAAATAATATTATTTCTATTTCCACTAACATTATCAGGTTGTCTGTTAAGATTTAATACATACATTGGTCTTGCTTTTTTAAATTCAATAGGTGTAATATACATCTGAGGAAGTTCTTGATGTGTTTTATGGAATGTTTATTTATATGACATATACATATTATAGGCAAATGGAAATTTATCATTTTTCCAATCTAAATTTAATGATTCTTGTGGATATCTCTGTCCATCAATTTCTAGCCAAATATTTTTTACATTACAATGATCAAAATAAGAAGCTCTTCTTAATTGTGTTTCTAATCCATTTGTTTGGAAAGTTACAATTCCAAATAATAGATTATAAACGTTTCTATATGTACTTGCAATATTTCTCTTGAATGTTTTACCATTTAAATTGGTTTCATCCATACATTTCCAAGATTTAAAATTTAACCTGTAATTATTTCCTTGAGATAATTTTGTTAATTCACTTATCTAGTCGACAGGTATGATTTTATATCGTCTAGTTTTAATTCATTAAGTCCTCGGTGAATTTGTAAAAAGAAAAATATGGACGAATGCGTTATTACACCTATTTATAAATGGGCAAACAAACACTGTACATATTCACTAGACAAATCGGTACGTTAGAACTGACACACGTCTAAATCTCTGTATCTCACGCGCGTGCACCAAAACAAAGACAGAAACACGTCTCTTCCGATCCCCTTGGGTATAAAAATCACCGCTCAGAACACCGCTTTGGGATGCACTGTTTTTACACGCGCTGTCATGTCGTCCGGCCGTAGCTATATGTAAAATATTATAAATTGTTTTTTTTCCCTCCACAATCCGTTTTCCCTACCACCGCGGCGCGGACCGCACGCGTGTTTTTGAATTATCGACGACCGGTTCCGAGCGGACGGCCGACGATATTGCGTTACTACTATTGTCCCCTAATATCCCGTGCTTTCCAGGATCGTGCCCGTGTGCGTATGCGTGCGTGCATGCGTCGACTGTACACAACCGACGACGACGCGTCGTACGTGCGACCGACCGAATTATTATTATTCAAGGCCGTCGCCGTCGTCCGTCGTCGCCCGTAATATTATTTCCTTCCAACGCCCAACGTATTTGGACCAGGGGTGGGCAAACGGTCGGTCGCGGACGATTTTTAAACGCCGATTTCGTATCGAGTTTTTTTTTTTATGCAAAGGTCATCGGATAAATAACAATAACATTGACTTTGTTTTCTGTTGTAAATTGAATACGAATCGACGGGGTTTATCGCGGCAATTGTATTTACCATAACGTTCTTCATGCATGTGTTGCTCTTAACAATAGCGCGACGCAAAACATTATACAACTATAAATTTCAGTTTTATTAATTCGTAAGTTACGCGTACATTATTAATACTCGTTACAGCAGGGTGACCAACCGCCACGGTTCTAGCGCGACGTTCACGATTTATACGTTTTTTCCCCGCGTCCCGATCAACGTTGCTGTGGGTTTTTTTCTGGACATTGCGAAAATAGTAACTCGTAAAATAATATCGTTTCCGCGTTAGCGCAATTTTATTATCTAATTATCTTCTTGTAAGTTGATGGGGAAACTTAGTGGTGACTTAAATTAATGGATTTCCTATAAAGAATATGTTAATCCGGGAACCAAATAATAATTGACCGTGTAAAAGTCATTTCAAGGTGGTCTGGACTGTAGATTGTGTACGACGTTTTTTTCGAACAGACCAATACTGTTATTTTAGATCCTGTACAATTATATTCCGGGCCAAATGTTTTCGACGTATTTCTTTTTTGTGCGCACACGGTATTTCGTAAATCATCGGCCGCCCAGTAAAACTCGACGTTTTCATTTTACTGTTACGGTCGCGGCAGATGTTTTTATTTTTTCTCGTTTTCTTTGTCCGTTTACAGGTACCCAACCGACCGAAATGAAATGAACGCGTTGAACGTCGGTCGGGTCCGCAGTACGTTTCAATAGAAATGACTCGTGAGGTTATATTGTTATACGATACATTCTGTATGGGCCGGCCGAAATTTCAAAGAAATACGAATTTCGACTCGGATACAATGTAATACAATAACACGGAGGGAACGAGTCCGATGTGCTGCTAAAAACAGGAGGGGATGACTGTTTACGGGGGAAAACGATACATATCTAATATACCAATACCAATGGAATTCGGTGTGTGCACTATAAGTAAATATGCCGATTCTCCTGATTATCTAGTTTATACGTTTTTAAATTATATCTATTTAACATTCGTTGTTCATTCAATTATACGCGCCGTTCCCCTACAAACATTAAACGCAAAGAATATTATAAAAATGGCNTTTGTTCGTTCCGGGCGTCCGCCGCCGATGTTCGAGAATCGATATCCATTGTATGGTGAGTGCCTAATTGATCACCAACGATGTTCACCGCGTTATAATAAGTATTTATAATATTTCCAATAGTGATTTCGTTTCTTCAGAACAACTGTCCGGCGCCGGCGACAAAATAAATCGTTTTCGTATTATACACGGATTATGTACAATACGTCGGTATTGTATATAATCTCTCGGCACGACTATCGAATCTGGAACGGACTGCTCTGTAAATTCTAAAACGACAAAATTCCACCGTACAAGGAAACACTGCGAAGAGATAACGGTCAATAAAACTAAAATGATTAATCACAAAAACAATCGCTAGGAGGCAACTCTCACTAATCGGATAAATCCGTGTCGTGTCGTTTTGCTGAAACTGTCAAAAAATAATTAGCTAATAGCAACCTTTGCGTCTGTACCGATCCGACCACCACCATGAACATCTAGTAATATGACTTTTTATTTATTTTGTTTGACCTTAGATGGTATTCAGTGCGTTTTTTTTCTTCTTTTGTCACTCTAATATATTGTTATAATTACCTTTAAGTATTTTGTAGTCAATTTCTAATCTTAATAACTACCAGATTAAGTTAAATGTGGTATTAAACAATAGCTGCCGCATTATAACAGGATGCCTTAAAAATACATCGGTAGAGAAAGTTTATCTATTAGCAGGTGTTGCACCTCTCAATATACGTAGGTATATAGATAAGGAAACGGAAACTACTGGGGAGGAGGGTAGAAATGGTTGAAAGAGCTTCTAAAATTGAGCATTCAGTATTGAATGAAGAGGCAGAATGGGGTAGATTATTGGGCATGGAGATGTGTAAATCTTTAATGAAGCTTTAATGCAAGGCCATTTAATGAATAATAAGAATACAAACAGTAAAAAACCTATGCTTATGAACTCTATAGTGCCATTACGTGGCTTAGGCCAAAATCGCATTTTATTTTGACTCAAAACATCTTTTTTAGATTAGGCCAAGTGCCTCTCTCTAGTAGAATATTTATAAAACATTAAATAGGAATGCATCAAAGACCACTAGAGTGCATGTATGTAACGAAAAAATCAATATTTACACTTTCCGGATTTTGCGGGTTAGGCCCCTTTTGTACTAATTGTTTCAAATATATTATGTGTGTTTTTAATTAGGTGATTAAATTGTTTGCTCCAAAAAATTTTTTACTGATAACAGTCTGATAAGAAATGCATAACAGAAGTACTAAACAAGCGTAATATGATAGAGTATTACGCTTAATAAATTCTTGGTATACCTGTTCAAAAACGGGAAACATATTAAATATAAAAATATCAATGAGTTTCCTTTTTAAATTAAAAAGTACTGCATCACAATTAATAAAGAGTAGCCATGATTGTAGGGAACTTATATGACTTACTAACATATTATATCGCCATATTGTCGTCTTGATTAGTAATTGTCAATCAAATCAAATCAAATTGTCATGAATTTGAAGAGCCAAACCAATATGGAATCGGTAAAACAAATAAAATATAAGGAAACTCAAAAAGACGAATATACTTCGCACGATGGGTGAGCCGCTGTTGTAGGTGAAAAGATGGAATATAGTATATAGAGGGGAAAATATTATACGCAACAATAATCTTTGCATAAAAAAAAAAAAATCGATTTTGAATAATAATGTGCTCAAAATTTTGATTACCGAATAGGGTCGTTTTGGATACTAGGAGTTTATGTTAATGAGCCGCCGTACAAGTCGGTGTTGTATCAACTGCAGTCCCGCGGTATATGGTGGCGACGGCGGCTACACACGTATTGGTTGACTTATCACGAAGTCAGGTCACGTTAGGTCAGATTGTTAGGTTACGTGGCGTAGAAAAAAGCAAAAAATCGAAACAAAACAAAACTTTCCCTTATTCGATACGGTTTTTTCCGTTGAGATCATAAAACAATTAATTTGTGTACTAATCGTGTCAGTTTTAACTTTTATGTATTTCGCGGTTTTTTTGATAATATTAACCACACAAAATATAAATTACAATTATACGCTGAAAATTAAAAATCACGAATTTTCATGCATTTCCAATGTTTTAATTTCGAGTTGCGTTTCGTTCCAAGGTTACGTTGGTTTCAAATACGGCCAGAAACGTGTCGTGTACCAAAAGTGCACGAGGAAGACGACATAGATGCAACGCCGCGGCTGCAGTCGTTTCTGCGTTAAATTGCCCATTACGACGATCAGACGATTCCGGCGATAGAGATTCCGAATCGACAGTAAAGAAACACATAATGCCATGATATTTTCTTCTTATTATTTTTTTTCGATATACCTGACTATATACCTCATAATACCACAATACAATTATAGTTTAATCAACCACAATTTATTTGTGATTGCCCGGTACCAGCATTGGCATTCTTATGGTGTCAACTATTAACACGAAATTACGATAAAAACCAAATT